TACAGTTTTTTTGAAAACCTATTTCAGTGGCATATATATACGGGGCATAGCAAATCATATGATTAAAACTTGATTGTCAAGAAACAGACCCCATATAATAATCTGCTATATCTAAAAACAAATTTGATTATAATTTTTTTATAAATATCTAAACTTTAAACAAAGATTATTTAATACTTATCTGGCTAACTCTAATCAAAATTTTTATATTTTAATTCTATAAACTTATAAAATTAAAATAAAAAAATTTGATTAAATTTAACTAGATAAGTGTCAAGTAATCTTTATTTAAAATTTAAAAATCTATATAATCATTTTTTTTTAACTTTTAGTAATATTATTTAACAACCAGCTATTCAAATTTGATTATTTTTTTTTTTATTTTAATTCTATAGACATATAGAATTGGAATAAAAAAAAACTTTATTAAATTTGATTAGTTAGTTGTCTGGAAAACATTATTTAAAATTTTTTTTTAAAAAAAAAATTATTGTAATAAATTTTGTATCTAAACTTTAAGTAAAGATTTCTCAAAAATTAACTAATTGAATTTGACGAAAGTTTTTTATTTTAATTCTATGGGATCATAGAATTAAAATAAAAATTTGATCAAATTTGAATAGCTAATTGTCGAGAAATATTCATTAAAATTAAAAGAAATTGACCAGTTTTTTTTTATTGGCACCTAAACTTTGAATAAAGATTACTCGGCATTTACCTGGTCAAATTCGATCAAATTTTTTATTTTAATTCTATAAAACATATAGATTTAAATAAAAAATTTTAATCGAATTTGGCTAGGTAAATGCCAAGTAATCTTCGTTCAAAGTTTAGACACCTATAAAAAAGAAGCTGCGGCCATTTTTTAATTTTAATGAATATTTTTCAACAGCCAGATATTCAAATTCGATCAAAATTGATTTATTTCAATTCTATTGACCCAGAGGATTAAATTAATCAAATTTTCATCAAATTTAGTTGCCGAGAAATCTTTGTTAGAAGTTCAAAGAAAAATCGATTTGTTTTTTTTCCAATATATTTTTAAATTTTAGCGATGATTTCTCAACAATTACTAAAACAAATTCAATGAACTTTTTTTTATTTCAATTCTACAAAACTATAGAATTAAAATAAAAACCTTTTTACTAACTTTGATCAAGTAGTTATTAAGAAATCATCGCTAAAATTTTTAAAAAACTTTTCGGATTTATTAAATTTTGTTTATCGGAACCGACCTCGGTCGCGAACACTTTGCTACTATTATTCGCGCTAATTTAATCTGTGAGTATAAAAATATTTTGTTACTTAACGTATTTAAATAACCTATTCAAACTCATATCAATTTTATTCGCTTTAGTTTAGTTGAATATTTTACTAATCGATGGATTTAAATTTATCTATTGGGTAAACTGTAGCATTTATTATCATAACATATTTCATTTCAGTTATTTTTTTAACTGGTAAGTGTAAAATAAAAAAAGTTTTATAAAAAATGATGTACGGCAATTTTATAGTATTTGCTTCTACATCATACCCATACCACAGTTCAATTTATTTACACGTAGTTGATGATATAAGATATTTACGAATAGACGCAATAAAATAGTTAATCTCATTCACGTTAACTTAAACTGGTGAATGTGAAATCTTTTATTGGTCGATGTGTTTAAAGCAATCTAAATTCGTAGTGTTTACCATCGTACCACACTTATTCAGTTCTATTATACATAAAAAATCGTTTAGTTGATGTATTTAAAATAATCTATTCAAATTCACAGCACTTCATCATACTAATGTCTAAGTATATTTACTAATGTATTTAAAAGAATCTCTCAAGTTCACAGCATTTATCATTATACCATCTCTCATTATTCGCATTAATTCAGCTAGTTTACAGACATTTTATTAATCGTACATTCAAAACCAGCTATTTAAATTCATAGCACATCAAGAATAGAATATTAATACATATTATATGTATGTATGTATATTGGCTATAACAATAATTGTAAAATATACTAGACTTACATCGGTTCTGGTTTCTGTTATCTGGCTATATATATGACATATAAAATTGCTGGTATAAACCAATTTCGCCGACAAATTTTGGCCCGATTTAGTTGGGGTTAGCCTAGAATTTAGATCCACTTTTATTTTTCATATGTTAAAAACCGATTAAAACCGATTTTAGCATATGAATAGAGTTCCAATCCATTACACGTTACAGCCGTTTTCATAATTCTGGAACATAATTGGGGAATGGACTAGGAAAACCCCTGCCTGAAAGCAAATGTCAGACGGCAGTTTTTCTACGTAGTTCATTCCCCCCAGAATTTATGGAAACAGTAAAAAAAAATCGGTTTATAAAATAAACCGCAATTGAGCTGTAGTTTATCTGGATGATCCGGATATCCGTTTACTATTGATATCCGAATAATTATTCGAATATTTGTCCTGTTTATCCGATCTGGATTATTTGGATGGATAAATGTATGACGGATCCGGATTTGAACTCTACATATCGATATGATAAATAAAACCGAATCAAACCCTGCTTTGTAGTTAGTGTTTGCTAGAGATTATTGGCTGTCGGCGAATTCTATCAGAACCAAAATTGCTACGTACGTACATACGTGTAATAGCGACTATATATCGATATAGCGGTTTTATTAGCAGTTAAACTAACATAGTCTAAAAATTTCACTGGCAATCAGATTTCAAAACGCAAAAGAAATGCGCAAAATCAACCAACAAAAAAACGTCTGTAACTCAAAGTTTTGTCTATGAAAGTGCCTTCTAAAAAGTTTTCTCCTTGAAGTTTTATTATAACTACAACCTTCTAATCGTAATCTTGTAGCAAACCCTAATTCTAAACTATTTTAAATGCGAAATTTTTAGGCTTAATGTTATAAGAGGGATTTGATTCGGTTCCGGTTTAAGTTCAGGTTCAAATCGAAAAATCAGTTCGAGTCCAAATCTGCATAAAACTCGAACCATGTGGAGCACTGCTTAATAATAAATAGTAATCCTGGTCAGTAGTGAAAAAAATCGGAAGATGAACGAACATAAAATATGGTTGAGGCAAAATTTTCCGGATAAAAATTAAAAATTGGTTAATCGACTAACTCGGCCAAGCCGATGAATTTTTATCCGTTTAATTATAGCCGAAAATAATGGACGATCTAGGATCACTAATAATTAAAACCTGGTTAACTAATAGAGCAGATGAGTCGATTTGTGTTTCTATATTTGAGTGTAAATGGAATTCTTACTAACTTAATTAGAATAAAAAAAAATCAAAAAAAAAGGTTAATAAAATTAAACTTAATATGAAACGTAAATTATGTACGTATAGTTAATCATAAAAGATCAGCCTGGTAATTTATTGTAACCGTGTGTATTTCATTTAAAATTTATAAAGTATTCCGGATGACTTTAATAATTCACTTGAAATGAACCATTACATATTTATATATTCATCACTGATCCAGCAACCATGCTGAAAACACTAATTACATTCTTATCCTGAAGAAGTGAGAGAACGAAAATACCGGATCGGACATCAACAACTATACTCTGTTAATTCAATTACCACATTTTCATCGACTAATTAACGCACCATACTATATTTACTTATTACTTTCAAGATGTGCTAAGACTTTGTAATATTCTATATTGGTCACCTGATTTAATTTAACTAACAATTATTACTAATCAATTATTAATACTTAGCCTCAGTATTTAATTGAACAGATTATAAAAAATTTAATCTAAATATAATTTAGTGATGAATGCTAAAAACCTTTAGTCATCAAATTATTATGGCAATCATTCACAGTAAGCAAAAAGGTATCATATATTGCCTGCATCTTAAGAATTGATACGTACTATAAAACATCGATGATTTTTAGAATTCAAAAGAATTTCAAGGATCGTAGCATTTGCTTAGTCAAAAATGATCTAGCCATTTTTGAAATAAGACATTCTTGAAATATTGGCGTTACATGACGCCAACCATCTGGGTAATACGTACTGATAAATATCAAGTTCGTAATTTTGCATAATTTTATCGTGTAACATTGACATTTCCAGATCGTTTTTCGATGCAACGAACTTTAGAATTCGTTATAAGTTCAAAGTAATCTGCATAGATAGTAGTGTTATACGACAGATCATTTAAACGTCTTGTAATATTTCAGTTTCTTTTCAATGAATTTTTACTTAAAACGAATGATAGTTTTTAATCCCAAACTAAATATTCGTAGCAGTCATTTGAGCCAAAAATATCAACTTTAAAAGATTCATTGTTGCTGTTTTAGATTTTTACTTCATTATTGCGGACGAGTTCTTTACATTTACAGCAGTTTGTACGTGCATGCATACATTAATGTTAAATCTATAATTATCTAAAACGGATTGGTCGATCCCGAATATACTTTTTCGGAAGCATATGTGCATATAGCTAGTAATGTGATATAATTAGTGTGACTATATAGAGTTACGTAGTAGTTTTTATATATCTTTGTCTCCGAGTAAAGACATTATATGAAAACATTAATAATAATTAAAATATCGTCTATTTCAAACAATGATGAAGCAAACTAAAATATACAACATTTCGTCAATATTTACTATTTTTGATGCGGTGAAATTCCAATTACCAACTGGACTTATACTAAAAAGTCAATTTTAAAAAAAATTAATTTTCGACAAAAAATCTATTATCGTGAAATTAGAGTTAAGATCGCCGAGGACCGGTAATTATTATTATTTTCGGAATTGATAACTTTTTATAGGATATTCAAATATACGTCATGTTAGAAAAAAAAAGCTATATAATCGATGGAATCCACATCGCAAAGTTTTAAAATTCTGAGGCTAAATACTCGAGTAACTTATTCATCAAAGGATATCTTTTCTTTATTTTCTCGCGCGAAACCAACAAACAATTAAACAAAAAAAGTCGCGTAATAACGTTATTTAATCAAATGGATTCAAAAATGTCAGTTGCCGAATTTTCTCTAGATGGTTTGGCCGATTCTTTAATCTGTCAACTTGATCGTTCAAAGATCTTTCCTCCTTATCATAACGATGCAGAAGAATATGTTATAGCAGCTCATTCGAAAAAATAAGATGCCAAAAAGGTCACCAAATGCATTTCTTCTTTGCCGTAAAAACGTTCATAAGGAGGCGAAGCGACTTGGGGTTTCCAACATGCGAGTTATTAGTAAAGTAACCGGTATCCTTTGGCGCGAATCAACCGTTGAAGAAAAAGAAGTATATGAAGACCTTTCAGTAAGTAAAAGTTTATTAATCCAAATAATTAATTTTATTTAATTACAAACAATATACTAACATCCTATTTATTTAGAAATATATTCGAGATATTTATGTTCAACGGGATAATTCAGTAATCAACAGTCAGTACATCTCTAATCATCGATATATGCCTTATGCAGTTCCATACTCGATATCATCATCTCCGAATATGTATTTGCCACCAACAATATACGAACCTATGAATGGTTTTATACAAGACAATCTATCATTTGACTTTTTATCTTTAATGCATATGACACAACCAAATAGTGTTCAATTTTAAAATTTAATAATACTATATAGAAATTACTAAAACAATCTTAATTGTACATAATACCTATTACAATCTATTTCCTTATTATTAATTTAATTTACCTAGTTATTATTTTAATAATAGCTTAGAATTATAGCTTAGAATTAATATTTCATTTTTAAAAAAAAAAAAACCAACAAACAAAAAAAAATCACTGTTTTTATTTATAATAATTTTAGAACACGTTCTTAATTAGGTTAATAAAATTGATAAGTGTATACTGTAAACAAAATCCTATTATATTCTCTTTTGAACAGTTATAAATGTTATATGGATATATTTTTTCCGATACTAAGTAAAACTATGATGAGTCTCTGAACCTTTCCTAAGCTTCCTTCTGCTCTTTTTAGATCTTAATTGTTCAGGATTTCCTTGGCTCTTTTCGGTCGGTTGGTCTGGATTAAAGCAGGATCCTGAGTCATTCATAAATGAGTTTATTTTCATACAAAAATTGCTCCAAAAATGCTTCTTTTTGATCAAACTTCGAAATATTTACGATGTAAAAAATGTAAAAATGCTATGTTTATTGAATTTCTATCAAAATTTCCTTTTTCCGTATCCTCCGACCTATCTATGAATAGCTCGGGGTTTTATTAAATCAATTGCTTGTAAGAATATCTGGGTCCATTAGATAAACATTAAAGCTTACACCCTTTGATATGTGTTAGGACAATTTTCGGCATGTGACCTGTCAAGATGCAGTTCCGATCCTGGATCCTGGTTGATCTAAGTCTACTATATATACAATGCGGAACATCTTAAACCAACAAGTAAAATAGACGATTTTTAAATTGCATTACAAAAATAACTAGTATTCTAAACTTTTTTTTTTTTGTAAAGTGTAAAAAGAATGATTGTCGCTATAAAAATAAATGGTGCAAAATCTAAGGCCACACAAATTAATGTCTTGGTTTTCATAACATGAAGCTTTTAAACAGACCCGGCCGGCTTTTTTTTTTTTTAAATTTCATATATAAAGGTTTATAAAATTTTTTAAAAAATTTCTTTAAAAACCCATCCGGTTATTACAGCTGTTTTCATTATTTTTGGGGCATCTGGTAAAAAATTGACTGAATGATTATTTGGCTGATTCGATAAGTTATTGATTTCGGCATGATCAGTGTAACGTTTATTATACCCTGATCACTATATCAAGATCGCAGGGCATAAATCAGTTATA